CTTGTCCTTATGTTACCTTTGATAACAAAACCGAACTGAAAAGGAAATGGGGTGACATTTTTTTACTCTTCCAGTGGTCACCCAGTAGCTTCCACCCTTCCTCCAAGGAGAATATTACAACCTCCTTGCTACTTATCTCCAGCAGTTTGTCTTTAGCTACAGACTTCCACTCTGCCTGGGAGAAACAAGTAAATAAAGCCCATATTTCAAGCTTGATTTACTCTGATACCTACTGTGAAAGATTATGACTCTTTAGGGAAATAAAGACAGGGTCAGGGAATTAGTGTACATAATGGTCATTTTGATAATGGGCCAACAGATGCAACTGGAAACATACTGTACACAATTAAGCATAATGCACTAATGACAGGTTAGAGTTTTTATCGCCTCTCTGCGATCGAGCAGCAAATCCAAGTTTAGCAGTAATAAAGAGTTTATTGGTGCTAAAGCCAAAGATTTTCTGACAGAGGAAAGATTTTTCCTTTCATAACAAGAGTATTAAATCCTTTGTTTACTAGGCTCTGGAAAAGAGATATGCAAAGTGGTTGTCAGATATTTCTTAGGAAAAAGCCAATTAAAGGGTAATCGAGTAAAGGATGAGAATTACCATTTGACTTCAAATGTCTCCTCTTCTGCTGCTCTCTCCCTCCTCCACCCCCTAACAGCACCGTGCCCCTGTGGACAGCTTCTCCTCCAAAGAACTTCAAAATCACGGATAATGATCCGAATCCCATCTTTTTTGCTCATGAAAGTAGAGCAGACCTGTCATATCTTAACAATTCTGTATTTTGTAGTACAGCAAGATCTCGTCTGCAGACTTAATTGAACAACAAAACTGTGTACCTGAACTACAGATAAAAACGAAACGGAATTATTGGAGTAAAACAAAATGCTGTCTGTAGGGCTGGCAAGGTTTTGTGTCTTCTTTCTGGTTTGAGTTGGGTGTTGGGAAGATCCTACTGGATAAAGGGGTGGAAGCTGCCTGTCCCTGCAGGGTTCCACTGACTTCCTTATGATCCCACCTCTCTCCAGTGCAGAGTTTGGCTCAGGGTGTTGTCACCAGGACACTCAGACTCCATATCTGAAATAAAAAGAATGAAGCATTTACTTCCTGCTGAGGTTTATCTGCATGAGTGACGCTTTGGTCTGTGGTCTGGTGGAAATACATTTTATTAATGGTGTTTCTGGGATGTAATAGGTGGTTTTCTGCCACAAATATTCCTTTAGCCAAGCAGTATTTGAATTGGACCAAACTGAAGCCACTGCTCGTGCTTCTAGCACCGAGGATTTTCTTGCTTAGTGTTGAAATTTAAGTACAAATGTCTTTCTGGTCTATTTGCTACAACACCTCCTCTCACAGAGGTTAAGAAGAGGTGAACAGGATGAAAAAGCACTTGCAGGGTTTAAAAAATCTTCTATGGAAAAAACCCATCTTTCATTTCACAAAAAAAAAGTCTCCTGTAGGTTGTTATGTGCATAAGGTGGAGGCTTAAGAGCAGCCACATTTGCAGATGAACTGCTTTTCCTCGCTTCTCCGAGACATGACATTTGTTCAGAAGATTAGCCAGGTTGTAATGTGTAGCATAATTGCACTGTGCGGATGTCCCAGAAGTGAAAACCTAATTGCTTGACAGGCCTATAACTTTGTGGTACTGCTCTCACCTTGTTAGGTCCTTTTCTGATGCGGTTCAAATGCAGGCTGGCCGCAGGTGTGCCTAATTTACCTCGCAACAGAACGTGTTGAGTTTAATTGCACAGTGGTTGTTAGGAAAAATTGGTGGGTGGAATATCAAGTGACTCACTGTATGTGGATGGCAGATGGGCGGCGAGAGGCATCAGAGCTAAGTGTATAGGTGAGGTGAGTTAATAAAAGATGTAAATTTTAGCTTAAAATAGTGGAGTCTTGTGGAAGGTAATACATTTTAATTAAGAGGGTAGCAGGCCCCATTCTAGCAGTGGGAAAAAATCAGTGCAAGGGGACATGGCAAAGAGTGCATTTTTCTCCCTATCAGTATTTTAGGAGCAGCTTAGCCTGCTTGGGAAGGCTGTTTTGCAAGGCTGTACTTATTAAAGAAGGCTAAAATTTCTGCTTGTAATACAAAATATAACAGGGAGAGCCAAACCTAGAAAGGCTTGAATTCTCATTCTTGTCTCAAAGTTTGAGATGAGACCAAGCAGAGCTCTGCTCCAGGTCCTGGCTTCTTGCTGTGCCACGGAGACCTCGTGGTTGGGGTGGCAGGGATGGGTTTGCAGTGCCCATAGTCCTTGGTGGTCACTGAGAGCAGCCACCAAGTCACTCATCTCCTCCTGGCACGGAGGAACACCCTGCCTGGGAATGTGGTTTTTAGCTTATGTTGTCTTCCTCTGAAAAGCTTGTCCTGATGCCACCTGTGCTCTGTGGGCTCTGAAAGCACAGAGTAAAGAGAGAAATAAAATATCTCAGCATCAAGGAATGTAGTGGAGCTGAAATGAGAGTGCTGCTTGTGTTCACTCCAGCCTGGCATCAATATTTAGCCCGGTGCTCAGAGCCATCCTAATAAACTTGATGATGTCTAATTTCACCAAGAGTGGGTCCTTTTCACCAAATAATGGAACAAATACCGGTTCCAGTTGATGTTTAGTGAAAGGGTGCTTAATGGCCCTTTTTCTTTGACAGGATGTGAGCTCTCTGTATAGAAACAATTCATCATGAACGCTTCACGCTAAAAACAATCCACGAGGAGCAATACTTAGCATTCCTAGTGCACAATTCATTGGAGAATTTCCGAGCAATTTACAAACATTAGCTCAATAAGCCTCACAACACCCATTTGAGATCAGGGAAAAAAAAAAAAAAGAAAAAAAAAAGAAGAAGATAAGATACTGCTCTTCATGTGGCACTAAGGAGCATTAGAGCTGGAGGCTGGTCCCAGCTCCTGGCTCCCCAGAACTGGGTGGTTCTGTGTGGGCCTGGGCATCAGCTGGGCTTTGCACAGACTCACAGTCTGGGTGGTGGGAACTGTGCAACACCAAATAGAGGTCTGACAGAAAGGATGTTACCTTTGGAATAATAGAATCGTGGAATGGTTTGGCTTGGAAGGGACCTCGAAGATCATCCAGCTCCAACCCCTCTGCAATGGGCAGGGAACCTGGCCTATAATCAAATGATCTGAAGAGAATGAGTATCTCAAATAAAAACAACAACAACAAAAACAAAAAAACCAAACTAATCCAAAACACTGAAAAAACTCAAAAACATAACAGATAAAATTAGGGGGAACTTGTGCCTTACATAGAGGCAGTTTCATGGAGTTGCTGATAATATCCCTGCAACAGCATCCAGAAAACCTGAACATCTGAGCTAGGGGGATCATGTCATCCACCACAGAGATCCAGATCTTTTTCAGCTCGACAGCTGAAACCCCTTTACAGGTTTTGGGATAGGAAGTTTTAAAGAAATGTGCATTCAGCTGAACTGTCAGCATCGATTTATTTATGCAGTTTCAGTAAACCTGGTTGTTTCCCTGCTTGCCTCTCTGATATGAGAGATTGCTCCTTCAGCATTCGTGTCCTGGGGTAACATCAGGGTGCTGCTCAAGGTTTAATGGAGGAGGAAGAGCTGGGATTAAACGTTTTTGATTAGGGGATGTTCCCATAACGCTCCTGTATGACCCTCAAAGCTTCTCAGGATGTGGTGCAGCCACTGTTGTTCTTTCTGCTGGCTATGGCTGGGCCTTGTTGGGTGCTAAAGGAGCAAAGATGTTCCTATCTTGCCTCCGGCCAGGAATGCTCTTGGCACATGGAAACTTCTGTGAGGTGTGTGCAGCAAGAATAGTCCCAGTCACTTATGAAGACAGACATGAGAGAATAAATCAAAGTTGTTCATATTCTGAACGTGGAAGCTCTGGCTGACCTCGCTGTCCAGCATGTGCAAAGTTGGGCAGCACAAGCTGCTGGACTGGAGCATCTGAGGAACTCTGGCTGAGGAGAAAATCCTGAGCTTTGCTTGTCATTAGTGGTCAGTCATTAGCCAGAAAACCTAATAAAGATATAGCTTTATTATGAAAGATGCAAACATGAGTGCATAAGCAAAAAAGATGATGTCAGGCTGCGATTGTCCTCCCGAGGATCCTGTGGTTTGCTTCACCTGCAGGGTGGAGACTTCCCAGAGCAGCTCGTTCCTGCGGTGCAGGAGGGCGGCACAAAGGAGTTTCCATCTTCCCAAGCTTCCCCCTTCCCTCTAAGTGCTTGCTGTGCTCCCCTGAGGCAGCGTGGCTGCAAAAACGGTTTATGGGGAGATGCCTGGATGATAAGGGTTAGTCCTAAATAATTGCTGGTTGCCGCTCAGCAGAAATAAGCTGGATTTCGATCCCTGGGTAGAGCGACTCCTCACAGCTGAAGGCTGGCAAAGGTTGAAGAGGTCGTAAGACAGGGCCTAATTTGCCATGTTCCTTCCCTTTCAAAAACAATGAGGGAGCCGGGGCCTTGCCGGTGGGCAGATCCTGCCTGGATCTCCCTGGAGTCAGCAGGAGTTGGATCGAGTCCCTTTGAATAGCTCGAGTTTCCAAACCGGAGGCAAAGCCAAGTGTTTTTCAGAAGATTGATCATTACCTTTGGAATTTTTCGACGTAGAGGTCATTACTGCTAATATAAGTTGTGAAAAAATGAAAAGTATTAAAAAAATAGAGACAAATTCTCATCTGGTGTAAGTCATTGCCTTTGAAGTCAATGAGTCATTGAAATCAACTTTCCCACACCGAGCTAAGGATATGGCCTGGAGTCAATACATTTGTAGTTGTTGAAAAATTAAAAATATAAATTTGCCTTTCCTTGGCAATAATGTTCTGTTTATGACAGAGATCTTATGCTTTAAAATAAGTTCATTAACGAATGGGAAAGTAATATTTCACTACCAGTATTCTTTTGGGTATAACTATTTATGATTAGATTTTATTAAACTTCTAAAAAATTGGATTTACATTTTGATGAATCTAATAGATTTCAATTTTGTATTTTTATAGATTCTTTCTAAAGTTTTTCCTCAAGTGCAATCAGAACTGTTTGAAGAATGCAGGCAACCCACGAGACATGCGAAGATTCCAGGTACAGATCCCTCTAAATGCATAAATGATGTATACAAGACTTGATCACATCTTCATCTTGAACTTAGGAAAAAACACAGTCAGTGCTTCCAGTCAGTGTTGTTCCAGTGCTTAAAAAAATGCTGTCAGTATTTCATATTGCTCCCATTAATTTAAGTGCTGGTTCTGAAGTTCTGCAGGGGGCTGTAATGGATCAATGCTGGAGCAAGCAGATCTTCCCTTAAGAATTATTTCCCTGAATTCCTTCCTACTATCACTTTGTGTTGTAGTGTGCTCAGACCTGCAGAGGTTTTACGTATACTGAGTAGTTTGATCTTACTGTAAGAACACAGCTTTGGAGCACAGGGAAGCTTGAAACTCACACTTCTCTGGTTCACAACTTGTAGATCCAGCACTGGTGGCCCAACCCACAGATTTTTGTTTCAATGTTTAATACTTCACTTTCTCCTTACAGCTTTTGAGATATCCTGTGGTGAATCATAGCACTACAGAGAGGCAGCTGACGGGATGGACAAATGATTTCCTCTGTATCTGGGGTCATTCGAAAGGCTCGTTAGGAAATAACTGCCTTTTTTTTGGTTTTTTCCAAAATATTTCACAATGATTCATATTTGATTCCAGCAATAAAGTAGTATTGAGATGTTCAGGACTTTCTCAGTTTGGAGAAGAATTACTTGTGGTTAAACTTGATAGCAAAACATGTGACATCTGTTTTCATGCACAGCCAACCAACCGGGGAAGTCAGCACCCTTGAGCCAGCCAACAGAAAAGATCTGTAGCTGGGAAAAAAAAAAAATTCCTTCAAAACAATCGAGCCAGGCTTCCATTTTTCATGCATCTCAGCTTCACGTGGCATCGGTGGTATTGATCCATCTGAACAGAACAGAAGGTCAAACCTGGAATGAGTGGAAATGTCCTCTTTGTCTCACTGATGACTAAATGAAGCATCAGTCACGAGTGATCTTGTGGTCGACAATGGAGCCAGTAGGCACTAGAAAGACTTTCCTGGGTCTCTTTAGCTAATCTCCCTGCCTCTCAGAAGGTTTAACAGGACTTAACAGGATGTCAGATCTTGAACAGTATTTTTACCTGGTTTCCCTGCCTCAGCACCTTTGTGGAGGTGCACTGCAGGAGTGAGGCGATATAACAAAGCGTAGCACGTCGACTTTCTTTTGCTGAACTACAGTATTTTCCCTTGGTGGCTGACCTATATAGACATGACAGAACAAAAATAGTTGTCATTTTCATATACACCTTGCTCTGTCTCTTTAATACACCGTGTTCTAGGAACCAAACCCAGAAATCCTGGCTGGAAATCACACTTGCATGTTTTGCAATATTTCTGGAAGTCTGGGAATCTCATTAAGAGTGAAAGAGGATAGCCCAGTGGCCTGGCAGCAGCTCTGCGGCCGAGCTGAGCGTGCAACCTCAGCACTCTCCAAAGTGGATGTTGACAGGAGGGAAGGTGTCCACTTCTGGGAGGAGAGAGCTGGGGAAGCAGAGCAGCCTGGCAGAGAACTGCCCCGGGGCTGTTCTAAAGGGTACCACAGATGGCTGTCTCCAAGGAGGCAGGATACACAGAAAAGGTGCTGTGATAGCTGAGAGCTAATTATGGCTTGTGAATAAGAAACAGGATCAGAGGTGATCCAAAACATAGAAGCAGACAAGAATTTTCTTCTGATGCCTTGGACCAGCTCTGTGTGGAAGAGGCTCTCTGCTGCCCTTCCATTTGTGTTCGTTAAGTGTTTTGGTTTAGAAGCTGGTGGGAGAACCCTGCAATCATCTTTGTTATAACCAAAATTTAGATAAAAGGAAGGTGGACACTAAGATTTGTCCCGCCTTTGTCTGCCCTCACCAGCTGTGTTGATAAGATCTGACTTAGGCAGTGACTTTACGGACTCTACTCACCCCAAAGGAAAACCTGCAGTGGTGGCTTCCTTTAGACAACCTCGAACCACAGCGAAGGGCCCATGCTGGAGTATTTAAATAAGATGCAAATGTCAGTCTGGGATAGCAGTGATGCACCTACGAAGCCGTGCTCCACACGAGCCCCGCGCAGCTCGCGGTTTCCTCCTGGGCTGGCGCTTCCGGGAGGAGTCCCACGGCTCCATTGTGGAGGTGTTGGCATCGGGAAGGTTGTGCCTTTTGCATATGTTCCTTTGCCATTTTCGACTGAGAAGCAGCTGGAAGCCAAAGGAGGCCCTATCCATCATCTCTTCTATGGCCGGACTCTGAACCTGGACACAAGAATAGGAGCCTTTCACTCAAAAATAAAGGAGGAAATTCCATTGACATACCAGGGTCAATCACCATCCAAATGAACTTGAGAAGGGATACTTTTCATGGATTGAAAACACTTTCACTATTCATATTCAACTCGGCCTTTTCAGATGCAAAAAAGTTCATTATCAGACATTAAATGTAATTGTAAAACTGACCTGGAGATCATTTACTGAAGAAAAAATGGGGAGTTATGACGGCTCTTGATTTATTAAGCTTTTTTTATTTGGAATCCTCACAACCCTTCATTTGAAGACAGTCTCAAGTGAACAAATTTTAATTAGATAAACTATCTAATCAATATATCAACAGATCAATCAAAACAGCAGCTTTTAAAATGAGTGGCTAGAGGGGTGTTTCTGAAACTAATGGCTAGAAGAATATTTCCCTGAATTGAATTCATTTGTTAGCATAATAGGAGATTAAACTCTAATTAGTGTAGCAGGTTCTGAAGAGAAACAATTGTGAGTTAAAAATCACCAGTGGTCGCCACGTAAACAAAGATGTATTCAGAGATGTCATTCACTCAGTTTAAACAGAAACAGAAAATTGACGGGATGCTGTTTTGTCTTATGACACCTGATTCGAGGAAAACCTGCAGGATTTTTGAAATGTGGGGTTTTGTTTTCTCTTCCAGGTTGTTGTATCAACAACAGTCAATGTGGATGGCCACGTGCTGGCTGTCTCAGACAACATGTTTGTACACAACAATTCCAAACACGGGAGGCGGGCTCGCCGCCTTGACCCCTCAGAAGGTACGGCCCCTTCTTATCTGGAAAATGGTAGGCACACATTTACATGTCCTTTTTTTTTATTTGCAATGCTTTTTTTTATTTTATTATTTTTTTATTTCCCTTTTTTTTTTTTATTTTCACCATACTTTATGTTGAGACACCACTACATTTACTTTTACATCATTTCTTCTCTCATCCATCAAAGCACCCATTAAAAAAAGTCCATTAGTATTTCTCAGCCCTTGTCAACTACAACACGGACGCTTCTGAATCAGCTTCTGACTTCTTTCTTTATTTAATACTTACAGTTTTGCCGTCACAACCAATTTTTCATCTTTTCCTGTTTTATTTCTTCTCTTTTTTTTTATTTCAGTCTTGTTTTGCTTGCAGCTTTTTCTTGCTCTTTAATTTGACTTGATTTTATTTTGGCTTGTCATATTCCTTGATCCAGAGGTACAGTCTCAGGTTATGTATGCAAGTTTAAGTGGATGGTAAAAACATGACCGAATCCGTAAAGAATTTACTGTGAGGTCAATTTCCTGTGCCTGGGCCTTAGTGCAGATTATGGCAGGAGGGGGTTTGGATGAGAAAAACAGCATAAAATGTTTTTCTTCAGCCTGACTCAATGTGATTGACTTCTTGCCTGAACTGCAAAAAGAAGATAGGCTGAGATGAAGAGGAGAATGGAAAGTGTCTCTGAAAATCCAGAATTGTGAAATCCTATCTTTTTGGAGCCCATCAGCCCTGAATCAGTCACACACAATTGCAGCTGTGCCTGGACACGTGCACACATGTATTTATTGTCCTGCAAAGCCCAAAATAGTCATTTGGATTTAAATATCACTTCGTTTGGACTGTAAAATATACCAGTGTAGGGATGCAAACCAGCTCTCAGGGAACTTCTGTTTAAGAAAATTAGGATAGGAGAGGATGGGATAGGAGAGGATGGGATAGGATGGGATAGGATGGGATAGGATAGGATAGGATAGGACAGAACAGGATAGAATAGAATAGAATAGAATAGAATAGAATAGAATAGAATAGAATATTTTCAGTTGGAAAGACCATCCAATCCAACTTCCTGAAGACTTTAGCCTTGCCCAAAATTTAAATGCACGTTGAAATACATTTAATTTTAATGCATCTTGAGTTCTGGCAGAGTTAGACTCTCAAACCTGCTATGACCTGACATGCTGGGCCATGCACACCAGCTTCCATGGGACTCCTCTTGCGAGTTGTTACTAACACACTGACAGGATCATGGCTTTTTACACTAATAAAATTAATTAAAGTGATAACAATACTAAGCTGCTAATACAATCACTGTCGTTTTACGTTTCAAATAGTATTTACCAACGGGCAGGGAGGGCAATGAATGAGGCGAGCACCAAGTATCAGAAGGAAACGCGATCTAGACATCAAAAAATGGAAAGCCATTTACAAATCTGCCGCGGTCCGCACACACACACAACCCTAATTTGTTTTTCTGCATTAATAACTAAGGTATAAGAGACCAAAAATATAATAATTAAAGGTCGCCCTGAGCACCAGAGTCATTATGGTCTATGACGTATTGTTTATCTCTTTCATATGCGCGGAAAGTAGGTGTGTGTTTTGCCTAGCAACCGTCACTAATGAGGTTCACAATTAAGAAGGCTGAATCCTCTCCCCTCGTCCTCTCCTTCCCCAGAGAGCCAGAACTAGCAACATTATAGGTTCAAGTAAGCATGCTCAGCCCTGTGGTGTTAGGTTTTAGTCTAGGTCCAAATTCAGCCTCTTCTAATGAGCTATTATGATCTTAGCAAAATACGAGTATTTATTTTTGTAAGCTGCATGAAAAGAATTTGACTCTGAGCAGCAAATATCGCTTAGAAAAATAAAGGCCACTTTTCCATGCTACAGAAAATCTACATAAATGTCACTTACCAACAGCTCCTTTTCTTGGCGATACGGTAATTGATTTGCTTTCTTTAAATGTTAAAAAACACAGTGCCAAATCCTCTTTGCCTAACATCCCATAAATGCTCAGTCGAGTAAGCTGCACCGTTGCAAATGAATGTGAAAATCTGAACGGCTGCTCCTTAAAGTCCTACTTTTAATAACAATGATGGTAACGG